TAATTAACACTGCTAAATTGAGAAGAGACAAACCTATGTCTGAACCTAGGCATAGCTAAACTTGAACAACTATGAGCTGTAACCAGTTCAGTTGGGAATGCCGCCGCTTCTACAAAACGAACAAATAATACATCGCAGACATCATATTCACACATTAAACAAAACATCTGAAATGATTCAGTGCAAACATAAGCTGAAGATTTTCTGAAGGTGTTTGCATGCAAAGTTTTGTAGTTGCTCATTCCGAATCATCATATCGCGATTGTTTTCGATATATTCATGCAAACAGTCAGTTCCGACAAGTCCCCAGCATCCATATCGGCTTCAAACTGATCGCCATTTGGACACTGATCACATATCTATCACATATTGCTGATCCACATCGATCCATCATACTCAACCAGTGTTTTCCATAACCACATCATGCCTCCTGCTATCACCATCTATCAGTACAATTCATAATTCAATACTTCAATACAAGTGAGTTTCCATATCGCTCACACAAGTGATCGCAAATCCAGAAAGATGAAATCTCCAGCCAGTAAAATTCGCTTCGTTACACTGAAAACCAAATTTACATCGACACCGCACATAACAAGATCCAACTAACTGCATCGCGGAATTAATCCACATTGTCACGATACCTATTAATTGGTGACAAGCATTGAATGAAAACATAGAATGTGCATTGAGAGTTCTTCGTTAAATTGTGGACTGCTGAGCCAATTGAGCTTAAAAGTATTTGGAAGATAATCACAAATTTACGATGTCATCTCTCCTGTAGAGAAGCACTAAAAAATGTTTTGAGGGCTATTGTGATAGGATAAAAATGATTGACAAACCATCCATCCATTATAGCCCTCAAACCACTTTTGATTGCTCCTCTATGCGAGAGGTTAAACATTTTTCATGTTCTTCCTAGAATTTTTAGTGCTTCTCTACAGAACAGATGACATTCTGACATTCTCGCGAAAATCGCTCTCAAAACTTTATACATTTCATTTGTTCGATCATATTGTAAAGAAGTTTTCAAACACTTGTTTACGTATGATTTCATGCTAACATATATCTTCTGCTCCATAGTTTTCATAAACCAAACCGCTTCTGAGTCGAATCAGATGATCAGACATATCTCTGAATCAATTTACTTAATCTTGAAAGAGTAAAATATTATTAATTGAAACAAAGTCAGCTATCATTAGTGAATGAAGGAAAAGATATAGTCACATGATCCAATAAAATACCAGATACAGATACAGATACAGTAATATACAGCCACATGATCACATTTATGTCTCAAATACAAATGAAACGCAATACGAATAGCAAGCAATTGCTTGAACGATTTGGATGTATATGTCGAAATCCTTTCTGCTGAACGACTAATTCATTTCACAACGAAAACAGTTTTCAGTGAAGAAAAAAAAAGAAACGGAAAAATTTCTGATGCATTATACGGGAATTTATCGTTTTGCACATTTTATAGGTTTTGCGATGGGAGCCCATAGAAGCTGTGAGCGAATTTAATTTGCTTATTAAAAAACCCATCAAAATACAATTAAACTACCGTATATATTCATTTGTGATCCCAGTGAAGATGTTCGAAGGTGGTGACGTTGTGACGTTTCTTTCGCTTCTGATTTTGTGTGTTCCAGCTATGAGGGCGTCAATCAAAAAATTATGACTCGTCATAAAATTCTTCATTTTACATCTTAAAACATTTGTAATATTTTGTGCATTCCATACATTATTTATGTATGATTGCGTAGAAGCCTTCTCTATGGTGTACCATTTTTTAAATGGAAAATTTACGAAAGAAATGAGGATTTTCAAATTCAACTCACAGATATTACTATTAGATCATCATCCAACAATACTATAAGTGCTCTTCTCTCACGATCAGTATCTCAAACTCTTCATAAATATTCATATGAGATGAAGCGAAACGATGTCAGCCACTCCGAAACCACGTATGTTTCTCTGATAAAGTGAGCCCTGATTACAATCAACTTCCACTCAATCCGACGAATATTCCCAACAAAACCAGGAGAACGGAGACCGGAAAACCTATACATCGTTGAGAACATTGCCCACCCCCATCCGCCCGCATCAAAAACCATTTTCCCGGAAGACGACTGACTGTCTGACTCATTTGAAAGTGTGATCGAAAAAAGTGACTGAATAGATCATTTCAACCGAATGTAGTCCTTAAGCACGCTTTGATCCTGACTTCAATCGAATCTCTTTATATAGGCTCAATCGACTATGTGTGCAGATTGCGGATTCACTGATCCGGGTTAATTTATCAGCGAATATCTGCTACCGATAACTATCATGTTACTGATGATATTCATTAAACTATCACCCTGACATTACTAATCACCAGAGCAACATGAAGGCATCGCATTAATCAAGCCTTATTTTACTCAATCTATTGGAATCATTCCCCACAGCCACCAGATTAGATTTCAGCCCATAATGCACTTGCGTACAGTGTTTAAATCAGATTTTCAAGGGAATATCAACTATCCAAACAACATACTTAGCTTACATCATGTGTTATGGTCAACTAGACGAACAAGATGATGCTTGAAGATTTTATTACATCACCTAATTACGGTTAATACGAAACATCGAACGCTAATCAAGACACCATTATACACGAGTGATATACGACAAAAATGTAAATAAATACAATTCGTGAAATGTTGACATACAAGATCGAACGCGTAAACACAAAATTTCTTTTTTTTTGTAAACTATATAAAGAAAACAATTGTTAAGCAAATGGAAGAAAGAAACAGAAGGCACTTCAATACTTTCAATAATCACTATATGTAGCAGTTAGTCTGCCTTTTCGCAGAATGAACTACCTTTTCAACATTAAACAATAGATATCTTGAGATATCTCAGAATTACAATTAAGCATTTTCAGTGATATGAAGTGAAATAATCGACAATCTTCGATGGCATGGAGTTCGCACTTGATATGAATTACGCAATCCTAAGTTCATTTCATACTGTCCATGTCACTGACGTATCACGCAGATATGCATGATTAATTCTAGTTCGTAAAACGAATACTCACAAACGCACACACCCGAAAATATGCACACATACGAAAAAACTGGACAATCTGGATAAAACAACAACAAAAGAATATTTGACTCTTTCTATCTATCTGAACTATGTGAACACTGCATCAAAGTCCAGCAGCAGGTCACGATGTCAACAGCTCATTAATAAAATCCTCCAAATGCGCATCTCCATGATCACCCTCGAATCGCCCCACTTCTTCACCGTTCTTGAACGCGATCACTGTTGGTACTGCACGCACTTCGTAGTCCATCGCTAAATCGGCTGCATAGTCGACATTCACCTTTGCTAGGCACACCTGCAATGACATTTTAAAGTGTACGTCTATTCATCAGTATTACCGTTCAAGAATTACTCCCGGATGAGAGCTAAAAAGATTACCTGTCCTTGTCGACCAACTACTTTCGCCTCAATTCTTGGTGCCATCATTTGACACGGTCCACACCAATCTGCATAAAAATCTACTAGTACTGGAATCGATGAATTGATTACCTGCAAATTATCGCGTTCAACAACAACTGGAAACATTTTTCAAACATTCACTGAGCCAAGCATTACAGTAGCTATTACTCAGCGAAATTCAAAATACATCCAATTTACTGGAATCGTCACACTGACCACATTCAATACCTTTATAGTC